GTGTGTGTGTGTGTGTGTGTGTGTGTGTGTGTGTGTGTGTGTTACCATGCCAGTGGGTCAACCTGCTGGTCACCCAACAGGTAGAGAGTGCCATGAGGCATAAGAGAGAATACAGGATAATGATGTTAAAAATAAAACCTGGGAATTTATTACATTTCATTGGTGCATTACTTCCACTTAATTTCTAAATGCTGTGAAGTAAGTCTGGGCGTGGTGGCTCACACCTGTAATCCCAGCACATTGGGGAGCTGAGGTAGGAAGATTGCTGGAGCTCTGGAGTTTGAGACCAGCCTGGGCAGCATAGCAAGACCTCGTTGCTACAGAAAAATTAGCCAGGCATGGTGGTGAATGCCTGTGGTCCCACCTACTTGGGAGACCTTGGGCTAGGAGCTGGAGAACCAGAGATAAATTACATAGATTCCTTTCGGGAAATGACACAGACCTGACAGAACATTCTACTGAGATGGAAGCCGGAGGGTGAATGAACGTTGTCTTAGGAGCACAGATCCAGCCTGGGCAACAGAGTGAGACTCTGACCACCCTCCAAAAAGAAAAAATAAACTAAAATAAATTCTGTAAAGTATAGATTATTATTATTTTCAATTTACAGAAGTTAGGAGTTATCCAGATATTTGTCTAAGGCTACATAACTTATAAGTAGGAGAGTGCATTGAATCCAATCTATAAACATTGAATACCTGTATAATCTGTGTAATTTATCTCTGATTCTATAGCACCTAGCCCAAGTCCTGGACATAGTGCTCAATAAATATTTGCTGAATAGATGCACAAAGGAATAACTGATTTGCATAACTTCAATATTAACCCCTGCTCCATCTTGCATTTGTCATGCCTTGGAAACTTCTTCTTTTTTTTATTGTAGAGATGAGGTCTCACCAATTTGTCCAGGCAGGTCTCAAACCCGCAGGCTCAGGCAATTCACTCACCTCAGCCTCCCAAGGCGCGGGATTATAGGCTGAGCCACCGAGCCCAGCTGCCTTGGAAACTTCTCTAGGAAAACCCTCTGCATGGCCTCCAAACAATGTTTCAGCATGAAAGATTTGTATACAGATGGAAACAGGCAAAGGATAACATGAAGGGCAGGTTGAGTGAGTCATGGAGGGGCATGTGGGTGGCCTGAGATTCCTGCATTGAAAGGGGAGACTTTGGCTTTAGGGTAGGGAAGAGTTCAGGGGCTCATGACATTTTTAAAAAAGGCCTTTGGCACCCAATGGGAATTTCCACATTAAAATCCTCTTCCTGAGCCCTTTCTATCCCACACGCATGTCTCTTTAATTGCTCAGGAAGGCCTGAGGTGTTTGTCCAAGTGTTCTAGACCTGAGAAAGAGCCCTGTTTACTAAAAGAGGTCATAGCACATGGCGCCTTGTGGAATCATTGGAATGAAGGCAGCTCTGGCCACAGACGCAGCTCTGTGCATGTAAGCCCTCAGATAGTCATGGGCCTTGGATAGGAAAGCCAGTCACAAAGAGTTGAAAATATCACCTCTCCCAGGTGCAGGAGTCTGCTTTGCTCCATTGGAATTCTGAGCACAGGATAAAGACAAGGAGAGACTCAGTTTGCTTCTCCTGTATCTCTTTCTGGGCCTTGCTATCTCCTGAACTGCCTCTGTAGGGACTGGGAATCCAAGAAGCTCAGCACAAGGACAGTGTGAGGCACGGGGGACCCTGAGATCCAGGGTCACTAAGATTCCTGACTCAACTACCAGCCTTCTGAGCAAGGCCATCTCCTTAGACCCTTCTTCAGCATAAGCTAGGTAGACTCCTGGCTTCTTCCACAGATACCTGCACCTGGTCATGTTTCTGCATCTCAGTCTGTTCTTCCCTGCTCACTCCACCTGCTACTATCTCTGTGTGGTCCATGTGGCTATAGCTCAAGTGGCACCATCCACGGGTCCCATGATTCTCTCCCAGCCAAGCCTTTTCACAGCTGTAAGACCACGTGTCCAATCTGACAGTAAAACAAAACTGAAACTACTCAAGCCATAAGCTCCAGCAGTTACCAGACCACAATAATAAAAAAGCTCTTATCTGTAACACAACTTTCATGTGGGTGTCTCCACGAGGCCTTCAAGATACTGAACGCACATGGGTATGCAAAGGACCAGAGGGAAAAATGAAACAAATATTTGTTCAAGAACAAATTGGTCTGCGGTCAGGCATGGGGCTCATGCCTGAAATCCCAGCACCTTAGAAGGCTGAGATGGGAGGACTGCTTGAGCCCAGAAATTTGAGACCAGCCTGGACAATATAGAGAAACCTCGTTTCTACAAAAAAAAAATTAAAAGCATTTGCTGGGTGTGGTGTCATGTACCTATAGTCCCAACTACTCGGAAAGCTGAGGCAGAGGGATTGCCTGAGCCCAGGAGGTCGAGGCTGGCTGCAATAGTTGTGATCATGCTACTGCGCTCCAGCCTGGGCGATAGAGTGAAACCCTAACTCCAAAACAAAAGAACAAATTGATTTAGATATTAGTAAAAGAATGGGAAATTTTGTACCGAGGGTGCCACAAGGAACCCCATAGTGATCATGGAAAATGAGCTTGAGCCAGTACTGCCTTGGTCTGGGGAGTTATTCCTTACCGTCCTGCAGTGTCTTCAAAGGCATACTCCCAGCCATTGAGAGTACGGCAGTATGGGCCCTGGACAAGACCCAAGGCAGAGATGACCAGGCAGTATCCCGAAAAAGCAATTCCGAGGGCAGAAAAGATCATTGACAGCAGTGTCTAAATTAAATATAGAAGAAGGTTAGTGCCATAGAATGAGACAAAGGGAATATTGTGGATAAATAATCAGATACGTCCTTCCCCTTATCATCCAAGCCTACTGCAGTCTGTATAATCCAAAGGCCCACATAAAAATTGAAAAATTTAATACAAACCTATTTGATCTTAAAAATAAATTTCAAAATGACTTTTGTTTGGCATCACATAGAGGGAACTAGATAACTAACTAAATTTATTCCTTTTCTCTGGAATTGTTATATCAAAATAATGATCACCTCTTACAAAAATGCAGTGAAGGGATGTGATCAATCAACTTACCACTGTTTATCAAAGACCTGCATTTTCTTATTTACTTTATTTTTTTCTTTAGTAAGAATCTCACTCTGTGGTCCAGTGTCACACAGTTACTCATGGTCACTGCAGCCTTGACTACCTCGGCCTTCCAAGTAGCTGGTACCACAGGCATGTGCCAATCTGCCCGGCTAATTTTTTGATTTATTAGAGACAAGGTCTCCCCAAGTTGCCCAGACTGGTCTTGAACCCCTAGGCTCAGGCAGTCTTCTCACCTCTGCCTCCCAAAGTGCTGGGATTACAGGCGTGAGCCAATGTGTCTAGCAGACATGTTATTTTCTAAGTAGGTCTCGCATCTATAATCCCAGTGCTTTTGGAGATTACAGGAGACAGCAGGAGACCAGAAGTTCAAGACTAACCTGGACAATATAGCAAAACTCCTGTCTCCACCAAAAATAAAAATTAGCTGGTCAAGCTGGCATGCAACTGTAGTCCCAGCTACTCAGGAGACTGAGATTGGAGGATTGCTTGAGCCCAGAGTTGAAGCCTGCAGTGAGCTATGATCATGCCTCTGCACTCCTAGGCAATAGTAGAGCCCATCACTAAAAAAAGAAAGAAAGAAAAGAAAGAAAGCTTGGGACCATCTAATTGTCCTCAAAAAACTATTGCTCTCACCGTGTATTTTTTGCTGCAGTTTTCACTCTGACAACATGTATACTTGCTGTCATTCTCCAGGACAAGAAGGACTGCTGCTACTACAAGCATCTGCAGGAGAGAAGAGAGAACATGCTGAACTGGAATGCTAGTTTACACTTGTGTTCATAAGCAGAGGACAGTGACTCTAATCACAGACTCTGAGGTCAGGTAGATCCGGATTTGAATCCCAGCTTTGCCACTTTTTTTGTTTTGTCAGCTTGAGAGTCCTTCCCTATGACATGATGCTGAGAACTCACCGCATTGGGTAGTTATGAGGTAACATACAATTAAAACATTAACATTAAAAAAGTAGCCACAGCCAGGCTCGGTGGCTCAGCCTGTAATCCTGTGCCTTGGGAGGCTGAGGTGAGTGGATTGCCTGAGCCCGCGGGTTCGAGACCCGCCTGGGCAACTTGGTGAGACCTCATCTCTACAATAAATCAAAAATTAGCTGGGCGTGGTAGCGGACGCCTGTAGTTCCAGCTACTTGGAGGCTGAGGCAGAAGGATTGCCGGAGTCCAGCAGGTCGAGGCTGCAGTGACTGGAAGCAGCCACTGCACTCCAGTCTGGGCAACAGAGTGAGACTCCAACTCAAAAAAACAAAAACAAATAAAAAAAAAAAACAAAACCAAAAAAGTAGCCAGCTACTCAGGGGATTGAGGTGGAAGGATTGCCTGAGCCCAGAAGGTTGAAGCTGTGGTGAGCTGTGATCATGCCAATGCACTCCAGCCTGGGCAACAGAGTGAGATCCTGAGTCAAAATAAGTACATAAAATAAAATAAAAAGTAAAGAATAGGTTTCCATTTTTACATTTTACATGGCATGCAAGCAAAGGAGTCCTATATCCCCCTCCTCTCAACACCATTGGATTACAGATTTTAATAGAGTCTGGTTTAATTTGACTTATACCTTGCAATGATTGCATTTTTAATAGAGTCTGGTTTAATTTGACTTATACCTTGCAATGATTGCAACAATGATGAGGCTACAGTACAGACACTAACTTCATGACAATATGGGTAGAAATAATCAGACCTAAACTCTGTGGTCCCGTTGTCCAGGAATTGACATTGAAAGAGAAACTGCCTTTTTGTGTGCATTTGTTTCAAAATATAACTGTAATACAGAGGACTCAAGAATAATAGAGGCAAGTTCTGCATAATTCCACCACCTCATGTGTTTTTGTGTACTTGTTCCCAGTGTTTTCCCACATACATACGTTTTACATAGTTGCAATAGGAATCTGTCTACAATATCGTTGTTCCTTTTTTCACTTAACATGAAATAATATGCATTCACATCTTCATAATTATAATTTTCACCGCTGTATGAAGTGAAGATACTATAGTCTATTTAACCAGTTCTGTGCTAAGATGCTCCTTCTCGTTATCTATTATTATAAATAATGATGCCACAAACATCTGCCCATATAGCTGGTTCCTTATTTTGAACTATTTACTCAGGATAAATGATGAGATTTAGGATTACTGAATCAAAGGATATAGCCATTTTTTGAATATCATGCCAAACTCTTCCCCAAAAGATTTGCATTCATTTGCAGTACCACCAACCACATTAGTTATATTCCTATTACATAGCAGCTTCAACAGCACTGGATATTAATATTTTAAAGTTTACTAATTTGATAAGCAAAGCCAATAACTAAATGAAAACTGTTTTTCAACATAGCTATTCAAATCGTATAGCGATCAATTACCCACGAAAAGTGTAGAAATAAATTATAATGAATTTCTTCTATAATACTGGTGGTCTAGTAAACTCATAGTGCACAATGTGTTGTTTTTAGAAACAATATGATCAGGAAAAGTGTCTTTTCCTCTGAGTTGCCCACATGATTCACTATCTGTTTATTTTTAAAGAACACAGAAAAACAAAGAACACAGTCATCAGGAAAACCTTCACGGATTCTTACCATTGATTACTCTATTTAGTTTTCAAAAACTCTCTCCATTATTAACGGTCCAGTATAGGACAATTTAATGATGATATGGTCCATTCTTTACAACAGTCATTGGCTATCTACTATAAGTCAGTCTCTGTCCTAAGCACTTTTATCTATGTGATTTTATCCTGAAAAGCAAATGTTATTATTAAATTTTTTACATGAAGTTACCAAGACTCAAAGATATCAGGTAACTCATTACAGGTCTCATGGCACAAATGACAACTCAGATGTGAAGAAAGGTTTGTCTGAACCTCCAAGCCTCTGCCTTTTCCATGCCCTTTGAATGTCCCTCCAAGCTAGAAAAACATGACTGCAGACAGAAAATCTGTTATGGGAAAAGGTAATGCCACTGGGGATCAAATAACTTAAAATTGATACAGGGTTCATGAGGACATAATATTTTTACAGGCCAGTGTCCCACAAACTTTCATGAGGACCAATTTCCTGAATTGCTGAAACTGCTTTGCTGAGCAGCTTATTGGAAACAAAGCTATGCCCCAAATCCTCACGGACTACCTGCTCCTTCACCCCACCCATTCTTCAGATCCTGAACCCAACACTGGCTTTTCCATTATTCATTATTTTGCCCAGCTACAAGGCAAGCCTTAATAACAACTCCTCCTTCTGTGATCCCAAATCCCCAAAGCCACACTTACCATGACACCTGAGAAACAGATTCCTTCGAAATACCACACGTAGTTGGCGAGTTTATTGCTGGATGCATAGGAAGTTTGCCCATTTGGGAAATACAATAATATATTCACAATGATACTCCAAAGTGCAAGCGGAATCAGTAGACTACTCAGACAGTATCCACACTTCCGAGACCGCATTGTGCCCTGCTTAGAACCTGCAGGAAATTCAAGAGTATAAAATCACAGAAAGCCTGTTTTTCTTCCTACCTGTCCTTACTGTTATTATATTTTATTTTTTCAAATTACCTGCCAGTTTCTGGGTCAGAGCCCTTCACTTCATATTCATGAGGAGCTGGGGACTTGAAATATAACAGCCTCCGACAATCGGTGTGAAATAGTGGTTTACTGTTTGGAGAACAATAGACAAAGATCAACGCTGAAGAGCTGAGCTGGTCTTCATCCTGTGCCAAAGGAATGCGGTGTTTTTCACCGCTTTTTAAAATAAGTCATTTTCCTCTGGATTAAATCACTAAAGCCTTAACCCCGAGACTGTTTTAAGAAGGAAGTTAGAGTGGGGGCTGGCAAATTTCATCCAACAATTGACAGAGAGTTAAAGAGAAAACGTCCAAGACAGCTTACATTAGAGTATCTGGTGTGTCTGTTAAAATGTCTTGGCTTTTTGTCCTCTTTGTTTATCTTTCACTCGGTGTTCTTTATTTCGTACTCACTATTCACCAAGCACAGTTCAAACTACAGGGGATACAAAAAGGATTAAGGAAGGGACTGGTGGGTGAGGAAAGCAAGACATCACAGTTAGATCAGTACAGCTCTCCTTGAAAAAGTACACATCTATTATTTCTACCTCTCTGAAAAAATAGCAGCAGGCATAAATGACAATATTTTTCTTATTGTTAAAAGAAAGGAGGGTTTTTTTTTAGGTAGTTCGGTTAATTAAGACTTTAAGAGCAGTGAGTTTGAAACAAGGATTTAGGAATTCTCCCTTCCTAATGGTTGCCTTAAATTTAAAGAGACACAGATCTTCTCTAATTATGACACCAGGAGAAAAAGATAATGGGATGGAGTCTTGGCACTAGTGTTAAGGACGCTGTAGACAGCCATAGTGAAGGGTTCAAAGGCTGCTCCAACTAGTTCCATCCCCTTCTGCTGGTATCCCTGGGACCCTCCTTGACTTAACTTTCCAAACTCTCTACTTCCTCATCTGTGAAATGGGGATTAAAAATAAGTAGCACCTTCCCCAGAAATATCCTTATGAGGATTACATATGAGGATTAAACAAGATGATGTGTGCAAAACAGTGTCAGGTGCATATAATACAGTCAGCAATAAGTGAGAACCACCACTAATAATGAAAAGAGCAGTGATAGGAGCATAATTGTCAAAATAGTACAGAGGTTTGGGTGTGGTGACTCATGCCTATAATCTCAGCACTTTGAGAGACAGAGGTGAGAGGATTGCCTGAGTCTGGGGGTTCTAGACAAGCCTAGGCAACTTGATGAGAACTTGTATCTACAATTAATGAAAGAATTAACTGGGTGTGGTGGTGCACACCTGTAGTCCCAGCTACTTGGGTAGCTGAAGCAGAAGGATCACCTGAGCCCAGCAGGTTGAGGCTGTGGTAGCTGTGAGTGTGCCACTGCACTCTATCCTGGGTGACAGAGTGAAACTCCAACTCAAAAAAAAGAGAAAGGTACAGAGATCAGAAGTAAAGTCTGCTTATTTATTTCTCTCTATACCCAAAGAGTGCTGTATCTTTTTTTTTTTTTTTTTAGTTGGAGTCTCATTCGATTGCCCAGACTGGAGTGCTGTGACATGCTCCCGGCCACCGCAGCCTCAACATCCTGGGCTCCAGCGATCCTTCCTCCTCAACCTTCCAAGTAGCCGGAACTACAGGTGCATGCTACCACTCCTGGCTAGTTTTTTTTATTTATTGTAGAGACGAGGTCTCACCAAGTTGCCTGGGTGGGTCTCAAACCCGCAGTCTCAGGCAATCCACTCGCCTTGGCCTCCCAAAGTGCTGGGATTACAGGCTGAGCCACCGAGCCCGGTCAAGTTCTGTATCTTAAAGTCTTAACATTTTGATCCCAGAAGTATTTACCTTTGCTATGTTGCTGTCCTCTTGAAACCATAAATGCTCTATAACTTTTATAGTTTTAATTTACGAGAATAAAAATTTATCTTTACAGCAATAATTTTAAAATTAAATTGCAATTATGTTCTCTTAGAGAACTGAGGTACTTGGAGCCACTTTTGGATTTGAACAAAACAAATCTAGACATGAGCAGTCCAGATTCCAAAGAGGTTTCTTGGCACCCCCTCGTGGATGTGAGTCTTTGTTTTCCTCTCTAGTGTTTTTGGACTAAGTGCGTCAACAAGATCTGGGCATTAGATATATATATATATATATTTTTTTTTTTTTTTTTTTTTGAGTTGGAGTCTCACTCTATTGCCCAGACTGGAGTGCAGTGGCCGCTTCCGGCCACCGCAGCCTTGACCTGCTGGGCTTTGGTGATCCTTCCACCTCAACCTTCCAAGTAGCTGGAACTACAGGCGGGCACTACCATGCCTGGCTAATTTTTGATTTATTGTAGAGATGAGGTCTTACCAAGTTGCCCAGGTGGATCTCGAACCCATGGGCTCAGGCAATCCACTCACCTCAGCCTCCCAAAACGCAGGATTACAGGCTGAGCCACTGAGCCCGGCTAGATATTTTTTTCCAGTGATATAGAAGCAGCCTAAAATCATATTTACTAGAGTTCTTGGGATGGTTAGGAAGAGAATGCCACTTTTGGTTGAATATTAATTTAGTGGCTCCTATGTGCCAGGCACTGTTCTAAGAGTGAAGAATAGATCAGTGAACAAGACAGTCCAAACGCCTGCCCTTGTGAAGCTTACAATCCACTATAAACAGTACTAACAATAATACATACTATATATATGTATATCAATCATGTGGCAGATCAGATGGTAATAAGTGTGGCTAAAATAAATCAGGGAAGGGTGACTTGATGACTTAGGAGTACCAGAGAATGAGGGCATGGATGTAATTTCAAACAAGGTGGTCAGGGAAGACCTTAATGAAAAGATGACCCAAAGGAGGTAGAGGGCATGAGCCATGCAGAGAACTTGGGGAAAGCACTCTAGGCAGACAGAATGGCAAGTGTGTAAGAGCCCTGAGGTAGAAGTGAGCCACAGCAATGAGACTGCTGTGGCTACAGCCAAGAGAGGAAGGGAAGAGTAGTAACATCGAAGACTAATTTTGAGCCAAAAAATGACTTGATGTTTTAAAGGCTCACTCTGGCTACTGTGTTGGGAATAGATGGCACAGGATATGAGGGAAAAAAGGAGATGAGTTTCCCACCCAGATAAGAGATGATGGTGACTTGGATCATGACTGTAGCAGCAGAGATGATGAGAAGAGGCTGAATTCTGGAAATGTTTTGAAGATAGCACCAACAGGATTTGGTGGCAGCTCGGATGCAGGTCCAAGAGAAAGAGGAGAGTCAAAAGTAACATGATTTGGGGCCTGAGCAACTGGGAGAATGAAGTTGTCATTAACTGACTTGAGTTAGGTTGGGAAGAGGATTGGAAGGGGGAAGATGACATAGTTTCAGACATGGTAAGTTCTGAAAAGTGAGGGGTTACCCCCCAAAACCCAGAATTATGTTTTGGAAGGTGGACTCCTTGTAGTATAGGCTCCCCCTGCTAAGTGTTCTAGGAAACCATTAGCATCAGTGCATGGCTACCGTTGCTGTGAGAGGCTGCATTCAACTTTAGTGAATTTTTTTTGAAGGTTCTTTCAGTGCATATGCCCATTTCATGATGGGTGATTTATGAGCACACCTGCCCACTCTGTGCTGAGTGTCCAGCAGTTTTGACCAAAACCAGCATGGTCTCTCCCCATGCCCCATCCTCCCTATTCACCCAATCTCACCTCGAGGGACATTTTTTTTTTGTCTGTTTCCTCAATGAAAAACGTCCTCAAAGGGAAATGTTTTGCCCACGTGGAAGAGATGAAACAAAAAACGGCAGAAGCACTAAAAGATATCAAAATGAACAAGTTCAAAAACTGTTTTGAGCAGTGGAAAAACATCTCAATAGGTATATTGCATCAAACGGAGAGTACTTTGAAGGTGACTGAAGTTTAATCATGCAAGAATACATACACAATTTTTTTTTTTTAGTTGGAGTCTCACTCCATCGCCCAGGCTAGAGTGCAGTGGCATGCTCACCGCCATCCCGGGCTCAGGCAATCCTTCTGCCTCAGCCTTCCAAGTAGCCGGAACTATAGGCACATGCTACCATGCCTGGCTAATTGTTTGATTTATTGTAGAGATGAGGTCTCAACAAGTTGTCCAGACCAGTCTTGAACCCGTGGGCTCAGGCAATCCTCTCACCTAGGTCTCCCAAAATGCTGAGATTACAAGCTGGAGCCACCAGGCCCAGCCCACACACAATTTTTTATAAATAAATTTCGGTTTTTTGGGGGGTCCCCACTAATACATATTATTGAGCTAGGCAGTTGAACTTACAAATAGGAAGTTCAGGGAAGTGATCTGGGTGAAGTACAAATATGAAAGTTGTCAGCATGTAAATGGTATTTAAAGCCACGAGACACTAAGGAAATGAGTGTTGATAGAAAAGAGGCCCAAGGGCCAAATCCTGGGCAGTCCAGAACTGAGTCTGGAGACAGGAGAGGAAGTCAGCAAAGGATACCGAAAAGTGGCCAGTGAGTCAGAAGCTAAAACTAGGAGCTTATTCTCAAAGGCAAGTTTCTAGGAAGGAGTGGTCAACTTAGTTAAATGCTGCTGGTAGGGCAAGTCATATGAGAGGACTTAGACTTGGCTGTTGGATTTAGCAATGTGGAGGTCACGGATGGCCTTGATAAGCGAAGCTTTCTTGGTGGGTGAGAGATAAGAGTCCAGCTGGAGAGGGTTCATAAGAGAATGAAAGGAGACTTTACAAAGTTAAAAAATTAAACAATTTAAAAAATAAAATGATTTTTAAAAATTAAAAAGAAAAGCTAGGTTGGGTGCCATGGCTCACACCTGTAATCCCAACATTTTGGGAGGCTGAGGTGGGAGAATCATTTGAGCCCAGGAGTTCGAGATTAGCCTGAGTGATATAGTGAGACCCCATCTCTATGGAAGGGAGGAAGGAATGAAGGAAGGAAGGGGAGAGGAATTGAAAATAGGGGAAGTAACATTTTTTGGAGAGTTTTACTAAAGGAGAGCAGAGAAATGGGCAGTAGCTAGAGGAAAAGTAGAAGTCAAGGAAAAAATTCAATGGGAAAAATGATGGCATGTTTGTATACTGTTGGGGAATGGGAGGGGAAGTAGGGATTGCAATGCAGGAGAGAAAGGAAAGAATTGCTGAAACAGCATCCTTGAGTTGCTGAGGGGGTTGGAGGGTGTGCACCGATAGAGGGGCTGTCCTTAGACAGCAGCAAGACAGGTCACTCCCAGCCCAGAAGGCCAGACAGAGCAGTGAGCCTGGAGGTAGTTCATGGGAACTTCTGATTACTTCTGTTTTCTTCGT